TGGGGCGGGCATTACACGCATTCGCCCAGGAGCCATTTTCGAAGACATTGATCATCGGCGCACCTGAATACGTGTCTCGCTCTCCCCTGGGCTATATTCGCCCCTGTCGTCGCCTCTGACGGCTGAGCGCCCGCGCCCGCCCGCAACGAAGGCCACCCACCAGCGAGGGCCCACGCTCGGCGCGCGGCTGGCTGCAGGCCCCGCGAGAGCGCACCGCGGGCGCCGGCGCCCGGAGCCCCACCCGGGCCGGCGGGGGCAGCCGCGGCCCAGGCCCGGGTGCTGCCACCCTGACCTCCCAGAGAGCTATGTTTTGGCACTGGAAGCCTAAAGACGTAAAAGACGGAGCGAAACAGCCCAAAACCAAGACGCAGAGTAGCTCTGGGATAGGTTCTTAGGTCGGGTGCTATGTTTTAGCCCTCCTGGAAGGTCAGGGCAGGAGTGCCCCTGGCCCGAGGCGCCCTGCAGGGTTCCTTCAAGGGGTGGCCCCCGCGGCGGCCTCTACAATTAGAGCAGCCCTCGCGAGAGGCCCAGCAGAGGGCTCCCCTGGGGGGTGCCCAAGGCGGCGCGCGGAGCTGGGCGCAGCGTGGGCCCGGCTCGCGGCCGCGGCCCCGCGCGCGGGCCGAGGCGCCCGCGCCGCCCGCGGCCGCGTCCTCGGCGGCGGTGCCGGCGCCCGCGCCGCGGCCGCCCGCGTCAGCGGCCATGCATGGTCCGAAGGCCGAGGGGGGGCTTTCCCTGACCTTCCAGGAAGGCTAAAAAACAGCACCCGACCTAAAAACCTACCCCAGAGCAAGTCTACGTCTTGGTTTTAGGCCGTCTCGTTTCGTTTTTTCGGTTGTTAGGCCTCCAGTGCTAAAACATAGCTCTCCGGAAGGTCAGGGTTGCCAGAGCTCGGTGCGCGCGCGAGCCTCGCAAGCCGGAGAGCGATAGGGAGAGGCCGGAGAGGCGCGCGGGGGCGAGAGGAGGGAGGCCTGTTGTGCGCGTGGGCCCCTGGCGGCTCTCCCCCTCTGCCCTGAAGGCCTCCCTCCTCTCTGCCCCCGCAGGGGTGATCGCGCGTCTCCTTCCCTCTGCCTTCCCCCCTGTGTGCTCCCTCCTGCTTCCTCGTCCGTCGCCATGGTCATGCTTCCCCTCCCCACCCGCTGCCCACGCCTTCATCACCCTCCTCCTCCTTCCTTCTCCCCCCTTTCCGAAGCTGTGAGGAACCTCCCTCTGCTCTCTTGCTCTCCCCCCCCTCGTCCTCCCTCCCTGTCGCAGGGGGTTGCTGCGGACGCTGCGGAGAAGGCGTTCGGAGTTCCACGAGGGCCGTGGGAGCCTTGAGCAACCCGCGGGGCGACTGCGCGAGTCCCTGCCACCCCTGCCCGAGGAGCCCCTCGAGGAGCAGCGCTGCCGGGCATCGGAGGGCCCCCCCCGCCGCGGGAGCCCCCAGCAGGCCCAGGAGGGGGGCGGGGGGGCTGGGGGAGGATTTTTGTTGGGGGGAGGGCTGGGGGAGGCAGGGGGCTCGAGGACAGGAGGAGTCAGGGGGCAGTTGCGGAGGGGGGGGGGCTGGGAAAGGGAGTGGGCGGGGGGGAGGGAAACGGGGGGAGAGGGAAGCTGATGTGACCAATCTGGGCACGTTGTGTGTATATGTCTATATGTGTGTATATATATATATATATATGTATGTGAGTGTGTGTGTTTGCGTGTGTGTGTGTGTGTGTGTCAGAGTTTTTTGTGTGCCCCTCCCCCCGCGCTAGGGCTCTCTGTGCTAAGCTAGTAAGACGATGCAAAACTGCTGATATGTTGCTTCAAAAATAAAACGGCTCTCGCCACGCCGCTTTTGGAGGGGCAGTCCGCGCGGAGGGAGTGGGAAGAAGACTGCGTTTTCACATGTTCGCGGGTTCTAGAAAAGGAAGGAAGAGGGGCTGGGGGGGAGGGAGGGAGGGAGGAAGGGAGTACGTCTTCAAGACAATATTTAAATTGAGCTGAGTCCTTTTGCTTCTAGGGGATTGCATTAGCTTGCTAGGGATTATATAGGCTTGAAGGGGAGGGAGGGGATGGAGTGGAGAAGTAGGAGGCGGAGACACGAGGCCGGCGGCCGCAGCACTGCGGGAGCCGTCCCGTCGCCATTCGCCGAAGACGCGGGGCGGGGCACTTGCAGCCATCCGCGCAACTTAACCGCAAGCTTTCCCCCCCCCGCCCCCCGCGCCTCCAGTTTCAATGTTCAGTTGCGCACGCGGCGCGGTCCGCGGACGCCGACGGGACAGATCAAGTCGCGTGCTTCGGCGTCAGCCTTGAAGTTTGGGGGGTCTGGGGTGGCCGACGCGCCGCGTGGGAAAAGCCTGCGCCGGGCTTCGCGGAGGGATGTGGGACCATCGAGCTGGAGGCGGCCAGGGACCCCTCCCAGAGTCCAGCCGGTTCAGCTTCCCACCGCGGATCCGAAAACGGCGCCCCGAAAGACGGCGCCCCGAAGGCGGAAGCAGGCACGGAACACGCCCCCGATCCCAGAGCCTCGGACCTCGCCACCCCCCCGCCCCTGGCCCTGCCCGCCAAGAGCCCGTGCTGTGCCACCACTGGAGGCCTCCTGGATGGGGTCCGAGTAGACGGGGTCGGGGGATCTCGCCGCACCGCCGAGACATCGGCGATGCATCGCCGATGCGTCGGCGACCCATCGGCCATGCACTGGCGACGTCGGCGATGCATCGGCGCCGTCGGCGTGGAGAAAATCGGGCTCCGCATCGAGCCGCATCGCCGATGCGGCGCGATCCTCCGACCCCATCTACTCCGACCCCATCTGTAGAAAAAGAAGAAGAAGCATCATACAAATAATAATAATAGTAATAATAATAATACTAATAATAATAATACTAATAATAATAATGATAGTAATAATATCAATAATAATAATACTACTAATAATAATACTAATAATAATAATAATAAGAAGAAGAAGAATAATAGTAATATGAAGAAGAAGAAGAAGAAACGGCGCGCCGGGGGCGGCGCCGAAGGCACCGCCGGGGGGGCCCAGCGCGGATCCCAGAGATATGCGCGGAGCGCCAAGAACTTCTGTTTGCGGCGCTGCTTCTTTTTCTTCTTCTTCTTCTTCTTCTTCTTCCTCGAGCCTGGGAGGCCTAATGCGGGATGACGATTAATACAAAAATGGGAGGGAACGATTAAAACAATAGTTTTCTGCTAGCTCTGCGCAATTTTCTGACAGGAGGAGAACGATTTTTACAAAATAGTGTTCCAGCCCGCGGCCGGTGTTTTCCAGTCATCCCGGGCGCCGCCGCGGGAACACGACCCCCGGCCATTTATGAATCGTCATCCTCCGTGAAAGATGCCTGCTCGCCGGAGCCCGCGCACGCCGTGCCACCTCGGACCCCCAGCCGGCCATCGCTCGGACGTCCATTCCCTGTGCTTTTTTCGGTTTCGTGCGTGGCTTTTTCGCCAAATGATCAAGGATGCTCCTCGATGGTCCTCGCCGAAGGAAGAATGCACACGTCCGAGCGATGCCAAGCCAGCCGGCTCGAACCCTCGGGGGGGCTCGCCTCGGGGCCCGGCGGCCGCGGCCTACGATGGGGCCGCGGGCCGGCGGTCGGGAGACCGCCCTGCTCCGGCCACGGGCCCCGCCCACGGGCAGCACGCCGAGCACCGCCTCGGCGAGCACCTCGAGGCCAGAGCCTCCCTCGAGAGCCGACGCTCCCGAAGAGTTGGAGCAGGCGGTTTAGAGCCTGTCCCTGTAGATTCGGGCCAGTTTCCTTGCGTGGCGCTCGCCCCCCCCCCCCCCCCCCTTCGCCCCTCTTCATACAAATACTGGCGTGCAAGTGCCTTTCGACTTGCGTGATTTCCGCACGTGCAAGCCGTTTGCGGCTTGCTTCAGGTGCAGGCCCCCCCCCCTTAGGAGGCAACTACTGGGAGGTTTTCGTCGGAAGGATTAAAGAAGATTAAGCCCCAATAGGGGGCTGTTACGCCGGAGTGGGCTCGGATTAAGCCGGATTAAGCGGGATTGAGTGGGATTAAGCCGGATTGAGCGGGATTAAGCGGGATTAAGCCGGACTTCGGACCAGTTCAAAATCAGAATTTGACCCCCCAGGAGTTGCATCCGAACCCCCCCTATCCATGCAGGTAAACTTGCGGGGGTCTTAAAACTCAGGCTCATGTATATGGCCGCTTTCGGCCCGGGGGCACTCGCCGGGCGCCGGGAGCGTCTCACGACGACTCGGGACGAAGACCCAGCCCCAAAGAGAGAGGTGGTCCGGACCTGGGGGGGCCCACGCATCGAAAAAACATGTGAGCAGCTGGATGTCTGGGTCTGCATCAGGAGCACAATCTTTCAGAGCTCCAGGACGCTCTCCCGCGCCTTGAGCCGCTCCACCAGGGGCACGTACACCTGGCCTGGCGCGCTGGTCCCCCAGACGAGGTCCATGTGCCCAGCACCCTGCACGACCTGGAAGTCGACGTCGGAGTCGGATCCGCGCTCCGAGATGATGCGACGCACGTCCGCTGGCGTCATGAACAAATCGCGGTCGCCCACCGCCAAAGTCATTGGCATAGACCGCAAAGCTGTGAAATTGATGGTCCGCCCTCGTCTGTGCAGATATTCCTGCAAGCCTCCTAGCCGGAGGGTCTCGGCGAACGCATGTATGTTCTCAGTGGACGTGCCGGCAGGAATGCACTGAAACTTAGAGAAGCAGGTGGGACAAAAACCATCATGCCCTCCCATGAAACTCCCACCCATGTCGCGAGCGCAATCCACCGGGCCAGTGGCCAACAGGACGTGAGCAATATCGACTGCGCCTGCATGGCCCAATGGCCCTCGCTGAGGTCCGGGGCCCCCCTGGCACGGGCTGGGGACGAAGGCGATGAGAAACCAGAGCCTGTGGACGAGGAGGATCAGGAGGGAACAAAAACACACAGACACAATCATTCGTCGACTTCCTGAAAATGTGCGAAAATATGGGCAGTGGGGGGGAAGACAGGAACCCAGAACATATGGGGAAATAGGGGGAACCTTTTTATTTGTGTGTATCTATTTGCGTGTCTGTGGGCCCCTTTCAGAGGAGCGAGGTGAGCTCGGCTGGGCCCGCGGAGCGCACGGGGCCAAGCCTCCGGCATCCCAGCACGCGAACAGCCAGCTCTTGACCCAGCACAGGTCGCGCTGCATCTCCTGGGGGGCGCGCCGGCCAGCATTCTCCCGGGGGGGGGCCGCGGGAGGAGCGTGGACCCAGACCTCCAGCTGCTCCAACGTTTTCGATGCGTGGGCCCCGGAGGTCCGGACCGCTTCTCTACAGAGAGGGCGCGGCCGCAAGAAACCCTCGCGAGAAACCCAAACCTGAATACCCGCGCGCGAGGTGCGCCTGAGGGGAATCTGGGAGCGCCCTGAACGCAGCAGCTTCTTCAACGGCTGCGGGAAGTCACCGCGCAGCGGGCGGAGCGAAGAAACCCAGGATACCCTGACGAAGAGCACATGGTTTCTGGATGCGCGCCCCCACTGTAGGGCCGGTCTTGCGGCCTGAATCATGTTTTGACGCTCCCGAAGCCCGGCGAGGGCCCCCAGGGGCCGAAAAAACTGCCCACAACCGCCTGCTCCAGTTTTTTTTTGGAGCGTCGCATCTCAGGGGAGGAGCAGGGGTGGCGGATGGGCACCGCACACAGCAGGGAAGCGCACCCCGTGCCACGACGACGCTGGGCAGAGCTGCGCGCAGAGCGGGGCAGCGCGCGCCACGCGCGGAGCCGCGACCGGAGCGATTGGCACGCACGACGGCAGTGATGATGCGGCAGACGGGGGAGGAGGACTGGAGCAGACCTGGCGGCGCGCAGAAGGGGGATGGCCTTCTAAGATTCGCAGGGGGCTTCTCGGAACCCCCTGGCCCCGCCCAGGAACAGGAGGCACTCTGCCTCCTCAGCGTCCCCCCCCCCCCTCGCCACGCTCCCGACCGAAGTCTGCTCAACGCCACCCTCTGGCCCCTCTTCCCCAGGGTCACCAACGAAGGGTGTCGGAGAAAGAAGAGGCCGACGTTACGTCTCCCTGGGCCGGGTCTTACTGTTTCGCTCGCTGCACGGTTCCGCTTCGCACCTCGATCGGCCCTGGCCGCTCAGCAGGCCTTCGCGCGGCGGCGCCTGCGGGCCCCGCGGCGCGCCCCTCGTCGGAGGCCTCCCCGCGCGGTCTCTGCAGGAATGCCGCCGCTCGGCGCGCAGACCTGACGGGCTGTCTCGAGCCGCGTTCCCTTCTCGGCGTGACCTGTCCAGTCTGGTCCTCCTCCTGCCTCTCCGTCTCCCCCCTGCCTCTCCCTTTGCCCCTGTCTCTCCCTCCGGGCCCCTCACGCCCTGCCGCCCCGCACAACCGAGACCCGCCCGGAGCGGCAGCGGAACCGAAACCGACCGACGCCGAACCTGCCGAAGGCGGCCGAGAAGGGCGCAGCGACGCGGCAGCGATGCAAAAACGAACCGAGCCGAGCCGGCCGAACGCAACAGACTGCGACGAAGCCGAAACGAGCGAGCTGAGCGAACTGCAGACACCCTGGTCGAGCCATCCTCCGCGCAGCCCTCTTGAGGAGAGCGGGGGCCAGCATGCCGAGCGAGTCCTCCATGACCTCGAAGGGGCTCCCGGGCGGAAGGAACGTGTGCACGGCGAGGTCGTCCAGGTGCAGCGCGGAGAGGACTCTCCAAGTGTAGCGCTGCTGCGTCAGGAACACCGCGGGCGAAAGGGCCACGAAGTGGTCCACGCGCCGCCTGTGGGTGACTAATCTCCCGCCTCCTCCTCCTCCTCCTCCTCCTCCTCCTCCTCCTCCTCCTCCTCCCCCTCCTCCTCCTCCTCCTCCTCCTCCTCCCTCCTCCTCCTCCTCCTCCTCCTCCTTCCCCTCCTCCTCCTCCTCCTCCTCCTCCTCCTTCCTCCTTACTCATCCTGGCTCATCCTCCTGACTTTTCCTCCTCTTCTTCTGTCCACCCTCCTCCTCCTCCTCCTCCTCCTCCTCCTCCTCCTCCTCCTCCTCTGCACGCTTCTCCCATTCCGCTTCCCCCATCTCCCTCCTGTTTTTCCTCCTCTTCCTTCTCCTCCTCCTCCTCCATCAATTTTCTTGATACATAACTAAATAACTTGCCCGGTCGTACCCCGAAACGTGTCGGGAGGGCTGGCCAGACGTTTCGCACGAGACTTCCTCACCACTTATGATCCTTAAGCTGAAACGCTGCAACAATTTCATGGTTGGTGGGCAGGCCGTTTTCAAAACGTGACTCCCGCCTCAGCGCCGTGATTACTCGTGCCAAAAAGCTGGAAGAATTTCACGGATGGAGGGCAAGCCGTTTTCGAAATGCCGCTCTCGCCTAGGCGCCCCTCACATCCGTCTTCAAAACTGCAAGAGGTTCGCGGAGAGAGCTGTGTCTTTTCAACATGTGGCGCTCACCCTAGCGACACGCACATTCGTCCAAAGAGTGCACTGCAACTTCGAGGATTATTGTGGTTGACGTCTCAATCGTGGTGTCCTGGCGGGATGTGAGACTGTCAGGCCGCAAGTAATGCGTTGATTCGAACTGTGGGCGTCCCATTCATGGTGTTCTGGCACGATTCAGGATCGTCAGGGCGGAATCGTAAAGCTGTTTCGCTGCGTTGAAATATCAGGAATGGTGTTCTCACACGGTTCAGAATTTTCAAACGGTTGTCTTCCAACGGGGCGCTTCCCACAGTGACAGTGTAAAGGGAACTTGGAGCGAGGGTTTATTGCAGCATCACTGCGGACTCTTAGGTTCACACTGTTCCTCCTTATCCTCCTCATTATCATCATCATCCTCTACCTGCCTCTCCCATCCCCGTTCCCCCAACCCCTCCTGCTTCTTGCCGTCTCCCAACTCCTCCGCCCATTTCCCTTATGGAACACAAAAACTCCTCCCTGCCGCAACCCCGAGGCGTGTCGGGGGGGCGGGCTGGGCGATTTGCCTGAGACCGCCTTACCATTTATGATCCTACAGCTGAAACTTTGCAGCAGTTTCACAAATGCTGGGCGGGCCGTTTTCTCAATGTGGATCTATCCTCATCGCCGCGCGCACTCGTCTTAAACATGTACAGAAGCTTCTAGAATGGAGGGCTGGTCGTTTTCAACATGTGACTGTCGCCTGAACGACGCGCGCATTCGTATCAACAATCTGCATGATGTGGCTCTCGCCTTAGCGCCGCGCTCATTCGTCTTCACAGATCAGCCGTTTCAACATGTCTTGTGGATGACGTACCAGAAACGGTGTTCCGGCGCGATGTGAGACTGTCAGGGCATTAAAAATTCGTCGATTCGACGTGTGGACGTCCCAATAATGGTGCTCTGGCGCGTTTCAGGATTGTCGGGACGCAACAGTAAAATTGACTCGCGGTATTGAAACCCCAAGATTGGTGCTCTCGCACGGTTCAAGATTCTTACAAAAATATTCAACATTGCACTTCCCTGAGTGACAACGAGAAACAAACTTTGAGGGAGTTATTGCAGCGTCGGTGCTGAACCTTGGGTTCACACTGGTCCATATCTTCGTCCCCTTCCTCCTCCTCCTCCTCCTCCTCCTCCTCATCCTCATCATCAGCATCATAATCAGCAGCAGCATCAGCATCAGCATCAGCATCATCAGCATCAGCATCAGCATCATCAGCAGCAGCATCAGCATCAGAATCAGCATTATCATCATCACCATCATCATCATCATCATCATCATCATCATCAGCATCAGCATCATCATCATCCTTTCCCCCTCTTCCTCCTCCTCCTCCTCCCCTTCCTCCTCCTCATTGTCCTCCTCCTCCTCCTCGTCCTCCTCCTCCTCCTCCCCTTCCTACTCCTGGCACCTGGTGGCATGAGTGCTCGTCGGAACGTTGCCTCCCCGCCCCTCAAGGCCGGCCGGCCGTGAGAGGGGGCTGATCAAGCCAGGGCCGGGTGACCCCTGGAGCACCGCTGCAGGGGCCACCGGCGGCGCGCACCATGTGACGCGCAGTGAGGAGGAAAAGAGAGAGAGAGAGGGGGGAAGAGAAGAACATCGATTATCCGAGGAAGAGGGGAGGTAGGGAAGGCGGCCGCGCTGCACTCGGCGGCGAGGGCAGCGGGTGTCGGTGGCGGTGTGAAGGCGACGCGAGGCAGTAGGTGGCGGGGCGGCCCGCGGCCACACTCGCCAAAGTAGGAAGGTCCAAGGGCCTCTTCCTCTGTTCATAGGAACCTCTACGAGCGCCTCCGAGGTCAAAGGCGAGATCCCTCACCTGCAAACAACAGGGAGGCAAGACCGCGACGCCAGAGACCGCGACGCCAGCCACCGCGAGGCCAGACAACCGCGAGGCCAGAACCGCGACGCCAGAACCGCGACGCCAGAACCTCGACGCCAGGGCCGGCACGCCAGGGCCGGCACGCCAGACCCTCCTCGCCAGAGCCGGAACGCCAGAACCGGCACGCCAGGACCGCGACGCCAGAACCAGCATGCCAGAACTGGCACCGCCGCCGCCGCCGCCGCTCGTTAGGGTCCGCCGCCGCCGCCGCCGCCGCCGCCCGTTAGGGTTCACGCGTGCCCTCCCGAGTATGCCCCACACTTTAATGTCCCGCCGCCGCCGCCGCCGCCCGTTAGGGTTCGCGCGCGCCCTCTCGAGTATGTCTCACACTGTAGTGTCCCGACGCCGCCGCCGCCGCCCGTAAGGTTTCACGCGTGCCCTCTCGAGCATGCCCCACAATTTAATGTCCCGCCGCAGCCGCCGCCGTCGCCAGTTAGGGTTCATGGACGCCTCCGCCGCCGCCGCCCGTCTCGAGTATGCCCCACACTTTAATGTCCCGCCACCGCCGCCGCCCGTTAGGGTCCGCCGCCGCCGGCGGCGCCGCCGCCGCCGCCCGTTAGGGTTCACGCGTGCCCTTTCGAGTATGGCCCACAGTTTAATGTCCCGCCGCCGCCGCCTTAGGGGGCCGCCGCCGCCGCCGCCGCCCTTTAGGGTTCGCGCGTGCCCTCTCGAGCATGCCCCACAATTAATGTCCCGCCGCCGCCACCGCCACCGCCGCCCGTTGGGGTCCGCCGCAACCGCCGCCGCCGCCGCCGCCCGTTAGGGTTCACGCGTGCCCTCTCGATCATGCCCCACAATTTAACGTCCCGCCGCCGCCGCCGCCGCCGCTGCCCGTTAGGGCCCGCCGCCGCCGCCGCCCGTTAGGGTTCACGCGTGCCCTCTCGAATATGGTCCACACTTTAATGTCCCGCCGCCGCCGTCGCCGCCGCCGCCGCCGCCGTTAGGGTTCACGCGTGCCCTCTCTTTAATGTCCGCCGCCGCCGTCACGCCGCCGCCGCCGCCGCCGCCGCCGCCGCCCGTTAGGGTTCACGCGTGCCCTCTCGAGCACGCCCCAAACTTTAATGTCCCGCCGCCGCCGCCGGTTAGGGTTCACGCGCGCCCTCTCGAGAATGCCCCACACTTAAATGTCCCGCCGCCGCCGCCGCGGCCGCCGTCGCCGCCCGTTAGGGTTCGCCGCCGCCGCCGCCGCCGCCCGTTAGGGTTCGCGCGTGCCCTCTCGAATGTGCCCCACACTGTAATGTCCTGCCGCCGCCGCCGCCGCCGCCCGTTAAGGTCCGCCGCCGCCACCGCCGCCGCCGCCCGTTAGGGTTCACGCGTGCCCTCTCGAGTATGCCCCACACTTTAATGTCCCGCCGCCGCCGCCCGTTGGGTTCCGCCGCCGCCGCCGCCGGTTAGGGTTCACGCGTGCCCTCTCGAGCATGCCCCACACTTTAATGTCCCGCCGCCGCCGCCGCCGCCCGCTAGGGTCCGCCGCCGCCGCCGCCGCCCGTGGTGGTGGTCCGCTGTTGGCGCCACCCTGGCTGGTCGATTGGTCGGTGGCGACCTGATTGGTGGGTTTCGTTTTTTTTGTAGCTTGCTGTGGTCTGGGCCAGTCTACTATTGCAATCTTGGGTGCCGGGCACGTAACGGATTATATTGTTTGTTGGCGCACGCTTCGAGAAACCCATCAGCTCGACCATCGCCCCGTAGTCGCCGTCGGTATTGTTGTAAAAGTCGATCCTCATCATGGTTAGCATTACTTGTCCCTCAGAGCGATGCTCATACGGAGTATGTGGCATGAGGTCGCGGATGTCCCTTCCAAACGTCTTCGTGCAGCCGTATACCATGTCTCTCTCGGTTCGTCCCACCTGGCGGGCCCGGAAGGCGGAGATCGGGTGGTGGTGTCTGCTTCTCGGGGTGGAATCATGTCCGTGGTCGCGCGATGGCCTGCAATGGTCTCCTCAAATGAAACGTCAGCTGGTCAGTGCCAATTAATTTCTTCCACTGTAAGCCACTGTGGTTTGCCATTGCGTGGTAGCCCGAACCGAAACTCGTACCTCTCGATCACCTCGTCGAAATGGTTGACAGGATCCCTGTACTCCGCGATGTGATTCCTGCGGACGTCGTATTTTTCGCTGGTGACCTCGATCAACGGTACCAGATCTCCGTTGGGGTCGCCATCTGCTGCATGGAGGCCAACGCAGGTTTGTGGCGTCGTCGTCCTCCTCCTCCATCAATCTGTCCCCTCTGCTCCGTCGTCTCGGTCGGCCGGTCGGACTCAGTCCAGGCGGCTGTAGCAGCCTCTTCTACAGGAGAAGCAACACGAAAGACGAGAGAGGACATCGATCTGGGATTTCCTCCCCCTCCTCCTCCTCCTTGCCCTCTCCCCCGCCCAGCCTCTCTGTCACAGGGCGTGAAGGAAAACAGGTCCTGAGGAAAGCGGATCCTGGACCCTGGGGCCTTTGCCTGGCACAGTCGGGGCGTTGACCTAAGGAACCCGAAATGAGGAACGAGGCCCCTTTTTTCCATAAGTTAAACTTCGACTTCCAATCGAAAACACAAGGACAACCTGAGGCAAGCTGTGAAACACTTAAGGAACGCGGAGCCCCTCCCAAACCAAAAGGGTTCCTTCTTCAGGGCCCCGACTGTACCACCTCTTCATCCCACATCGTTTTCTTGGCAGCCACGGGGCCTGTGCAGGGGCCCGAGAGCACGAAAACTGGGACGATGATAATGTCGTGGTACCATTGGCTTCAGGATGCGGCCCATGAATTCCGAGGCATCTAGCGGCCTTCGTTTCTGGAGCCCGTGCGGGACAACAGGAAACCTAGGGAACCCTGGAAGGCTTGGGAACCCATCGCCCTCATCACGACGTCTTGCCCATGGCAAAGCGGCGAAAACCTCCGGCCCCGTCTCCATCAGGATCCATTCGCTTCGCAGGACCAGTCAACACCAAATCGGGAAATGGGATCGAAGCGGAATGCGCATCGGATCGCGCAGCATCGGCACGGACCCAGGCTCGAATCGGATCGGCCGCGCCCTGATGCACCACAACGTCGTGTGAACATCGGGCCGCACCGGACCGATGGAGAATCGGAGTCGCACTGGCTCGGGCCAGCCAGAAGCGATCCCGCATCGGATCCATCGGATCGATATGGACCCCGCTCGCTTCGTGGCGGTCATCCTCCTTCCGGCTCGCGCCACGACGCGAGAGCCTCCCGAAGCCCCGCGCCGAAGGCGCCGCGGATGGGCGTGCCCCCCACCTCCGCGCGACGGCCACGGACTCGGCGCAAGGCGGCCAAGAGAGCGTTACGCTTCGCGAGAACGCCCCCCTCCTCCCCTAGGGTATTCCAAATCCCTTATTCATCGTCCCCCGGGTCCGGTTTCGTAAGGCGCCTTTTTTGTCACTTGGGGGGTCCGGTTTATTAGGGCGCTTTTTTTGAATTGGAGCTTAAAGGGCCTAGGGGGTCTGGTTTATTACAGCGCCCCATCGAAGAGGGGGGTCTGGAATATCAGGTCGCACTTGCAGGGTGGGCCGATGTTTTGGGGGGGGTCGATGAATAAGGGACTTGGAGTAGCGTCACAATTGGTGCCGGCGCCGCCCGGGACTGCTCATCGGAAGAGCCACGGGAGCTTGGGCAGCAGCTGCCTTCTGGGGCCTGCTGCGGTGCCGGCATCTGCTCTGGCAGAGGGCGCGCGCCAGGCCGTGGGCAGTTCGCCACTGCAGGGGCCTGCGGATGGACAGGTACGGACAGCTGAGCGCAGCGCAGGGGACTGCGGAGAGCAGGGTCTGGTTTTGTTCCATCTTCTACTTTCCCTCCTCCTCCTCCTCCTCCTCCTCCTCCTCCTCCTCCTCCTGCTCTCGCTTCTCATCCTCCTCTCCCTCCCCATCCCTTCTCCTCCTCCTCCTCCTCCTCCTCCTCCTCCTCCTCCTCCTCCTCCTCCTCCTCCTCCTCTCGTCGTCGTCGCCCCCCCGTTGCATCGTAGAGTGCTTCGAGCAGGGACAGGATCATGAAGGAGGGGATCGAGATGACGGAGGAGGCGAAGAAGGCGGGGCCAAGCGAACCGACTCGTGTTCCGGGAGGGGTGCGGGCGCCCCTGAGCCCGAGAAGGTAAGTGCCCATCGTCGTCGTCGTCCTCCTCGCCGTTCTCTTCGCACTCCTCCTCTTGTCGTCCTACTCCTCGCTATGGCTTTGCAGAGCGATTCGCTTCACAACAGCGTGCGCACCACATCACTGGGGCGATCTGGGGCGCGCGGCATGGCCTGAGCCCATGAGACACCCACCCGCTGGCCACTTCCGACTCGACCTTACCAACAGCGCAGCGCGTCCTCTTTTCAGGACGATCGGACTACGACCGAGAATCTCAGGCTGGGTGCCTTGAGCAATCCGGGAGGCTGGACACACGCGCGGTTGGAACGAACCGCGCGCGGAGCACGTGGAGGCCGATTGCTGTATGCACGTGAGGACGGCTGGCGTGTTCAGCCACACGAAGGCCAGACGCTTGAAAGGCCTGCGGCAACCTGTGCATCCAGCTCTCGCACAGGCTGGCCACGCCATGTGTATGTACAGCTTCCTGGTATGAAGCACACCCGGGAAATGCCCTGGGTGAGGGCCCGCGAGCACTAGTGGCCCGCGAGCACCACAACGTGCTTGGCTACGAGCACAAGTAAGGCGAGAACAGCGAGAGGAGAAGAGCGAGGAGGAGGAGGACGACGACGACGACAAGGACATTTCCCGTCTCGGGCCCGGGAGCGCCCAGACCCCGGCGCACGCATCGACAACCGAAGCGTAATCAAACATGTCGCTCCGGCCTGGCCCCGCCTCCCTCGCCCCCCCTCCATCCTCCCAGCTCCCCCCTCCCTTCTTCGGTCCTCGCGTGAAGCACCTTGCAGTGAGGACGACGAGAGGAGCAACACGCCGACGACGACGACGACGACGACGACGACGACGACGGGGGGTGGGAGGAGGAGGAGGAGGAGGGACGAGGGAGGAGGACGACGAGCAGGAAGGGGGAGGAGAAGCAGCCAGGAGGCGCTCCGCCGCAGCAGACCCCCGACCCCCTCGGCGGGCTCTGCGGAGGCCCGCTGGGGAGCTGCTCGATCGGCGGGCCTCGCGAGGCCAGCCGGGACCACCTGCGGGGGCCATGCCTGTGCGCGGCGCGAGGCCTCGCCGATCGAGGTCCTCCTCCTCCTCCTCCTCCTCCTCCCCCTCCTCCTCCTCCTCCTCCTCCTCCTCCTCCTCCTCCTCCTCCTCCTCCTCCTCCTCCTCCTCCCCGGCTCGGGGCCCCCTGGGGCCATCGGCGGCACGCTCGCGGCGAGGAGCCGGTCCTGTGGGGGTGGTGCTGGGAGCTCTGGGGCCCACGTCTCGGCGGCGACTCGTAGGAGCCTCCCATACCATCCTGTCGGGTCGTGCTGTCGGGCGCCAGAAGCGACGGCAGTCGGCGCCAATCGACGCTACATCGATGCTAATCGACGCTCACCTACGCCAAGTCGGCGCTGTCTCCTCGACTCCCGGACGCTTAGCCACACTGGTCGGCGCGTGAAGACGGAATCGAGAGGGTATACACCAGGCTCCCACAATTTGCTACCGAACCACGTTGTGCAACAAGAGGGCGGCGTCGGGGGTGCGGGCCTGGAAGCTGCCGAACGCCTCGGGCGATTGCACGCATCGGGGGCAACTGCGACGGGCAGGGGGGGGGGCGCGAGAGAGCGCAGCAGCAGAGAGCGGCCACCGTATCGTGTCGTCCTCGCCGAACTTCAGAAAGCCTTGAAACGCACCTTGGCTGTGCCCGACGAAGGCTCTGAGAGTTGACGCGCGGGTCTCAGCCAGAATGGCGTCGATCATGGCGGGGAGGTCGAAATCAGCCATGTCTATGAAGGTCCAATTCCACGCTGGCGTATTTGACAAAAACACTCCGCGATTGTTTCCAAGCCAGACGTCGAAGCCCTCCCTCGAAAGAAGCCACGGAAGCGCCTCTGAATCGAGTCCAGCAAACCAATCACGTGAAGAACACTCCAAACCACTCATTATCAACACCGGCTTGGCGCAGTCACCAGGAACCCGCCACATTTTTAAGCTCATGCCATCCTGAGTTTTGATATTGTGCTGACTGATCACGGGGTACCCTGCCTTGGACGGGAGGGCGTAACATGCTGTGGGTGGCCCAGGATTGAAATACGACTTCACATACCAAAATATTAACGATGCAATGACGCCCATGATGACAAAACAAGCAGTTGCGCATGTTGAAACGGAAACAAGAATCCACTGCCTGCATGGGCGGGGCGTGTGGAATGCATTGCGAACGACCAACAACATGTGGACATGAACCGCGACAATTCAGATTCTTGGAACCACCGCCGGCACGTGGGCAGCGCAAGTTGAACTATCAAAACTATCATCGCAACAGTGGAGCCTTGTCCAAGCAAAGCTGTCACTCTCGGCATGGCATTGTAGTCGCTTGGAACCGCATGAAAGTGACACGCGCGAGACCAACACAATCGCACGATGCATCCAGCAGAGCTGGGCGAGGGTATGCAAGGCCAGCCTGTGCGAGGCGAGGCCAAGCGAAAAGCGGCTTCAAACAAATTGAAAACCTTACACTGCCAGTAAGCGGAAGATGAAGAAGTGCATCCTCACATTCTGCTTGAATGGCCAGCGATGCTTCGTAACCTGGGCGTGCCAAAAGTCACTATTGTGTTACATCCGAGCTAATCAAGTGAAGGGCCGCCAGATGCACGTTCTGTGCACATGTACCTCTTCGTCGAAACGGAAATCGACAACGCTGAAGCTGAACCCCATATTAGCGACGACGCATCATACCGCACCGAATCTACCAAACTTCTTGAAATGCGAATTGAGGTGAAGCGTGCATTCCGCAAACCCAATGCTAAAACAAACGAGCGCAACACTCAAACCGACTAGTCGCAAATCGTGATGGCTTCTCTTGCTGGCGCACCACATGTTCCCACGTCCTGGACTCCCCATGGGCACCCTGGGCTCATCGGGCTCAAAAGGAATATTCGCGTGATCATGCATGAGGTTTGCAGCTAGCGGACAAGGGGGCAGGGCGATGAGGGAGGCGGACTTCTGAGAAGGCAGGAGGGGCTTTTGACAAGGGCCGCTTGAAAACCGTGGCCCCACAGGCATTTAACGGGGCGCGGCCCTCTTCGAGAACCGATCTGAGCCTGCCCCCCATCTGCGCGCCGCCACTGCAAACTATGGTGTGCAAGATACTTGGCGCAGTCCATGTGCAACAGTCTACGTGGTGCAAGCAATTTTGTTCGCAATAAATTGGCAACGCCACTAATCGCGCAATCACCCCACGCACCCACCCGCAATTTGGTTGACAAAACCTATGAGGAGGCAATTGCGATGACAGCCTGGCGATGGCTGGCTCATCGCTACGGTCGCGCTAACGCGCGCAGAGCGGACAGCTAGTCTGGTGCGACCGGCGCGGCCGCGGTGGCGCTGACCGCTGGGAGCTTCCCGGCGCGTCTCACAGGCCGCACTGGCGCGCGGGCGCTTCAGTTCGAGTCGGTAACTCGGGCGGGCGCGGTACCAGAGCGACGTCGACAACGGCTGATGCGATTATGATAGTAGTAGCGATGATAGTGTCGACGATGACGTTGACGACGCCAAGGCGAATAACGGCACCGATGCTGAGCATGCGGATGACGATGATGGTGTCCACGCGTCGGTGATGCAGGTTTCGCAAGGATTTCGACATGCGCGCATGGCCGACGTGCGCGAGTGGCCCGCATGGTATTATTTGACTGGGGCCGTGCCCCCACACCACGCGCGCAAAGGTTTTGAAATAATTTCGACATGCGCGCGCGAGAGGCCCGTCTGGTCGAATTTGATGAGAACGTTGAAGGACCTGGATGTTTTAAGAATGCGCAAGAGCGCTCGCACAGACCGTTCTTAAAACATCGATGTTGCAAAAGCATATGTTTAAAGTGTGTTCGGGGCACTCATCTTTGTATTCCTTACGAGGCCCAAGCTTGATGGAGGATTTCGGCATGCGAGCGCGACGACGCGCACGCGTGCACTACGCCTTGTTTGTTGCAAGCAAAGGGCTCTTGGACATTGATGATGTGATTGATGCTTGATTGTTCGCGTTCAGTGCTTTTTTGCAGAGGATGGTGGGTGGGGAGGGGAGGTCGGTACAGGCTGGGCTGGGATGGTAATATTCTTACCATCCCAAGAAGGGGGGAGGGGGGGCCGTGCATTCGAACTACGAGTTCTGACCGTAAGAACTCATGGTTTGAATGAACGATGGGGCAGGAACAACTGTAAATTGATCATCCCTAGGGCGGGCGGATCATCCCGAGGGGGGGGGGAGCTCCCCATTCGTTCTTTTTAAACAACAGACAATGTACGCAGGATATCTGGCGAAACCGATGCTTTCTAATTATAGTTCGACACTGATTTGCTATCGAAGGCTGAATTGCTACTGGCCTGCCGAGGCGCTCGAACAGAACAACACGCGGCAGTCAAATTTGACTGGCCTGTGCGCCCAACGCGGATTCAGCTCTTCTGCGCGCGCGGGGATGCGCATTCCACGTTGTGCCACACATGTCGTGCAAGCTTTGCAGAGGAATCTATGTTATGTCATATACGTGGTGCAACCGATGTGGTGCAATCTACGCAGTGCAATTGCCCTGCCAAACTTGAACTTTTCAACCCCGCTGCTCGCGCAATCATGCCACCCACCTGCACCTTGGTTTGCAAAACCCATGCGGCGGCGGTTGCGAGGTGGCAAGCTGGACTGGCGCGACCGACGCGGCCGCGGTGGCGCTGACCGCTGGGGAGCTCCCAGCGCGTCTCACAGGCCAAGCGGACGCGCGGGCACTTCAGTGCGAGTCTGTGACTCGGGCGGGCGCGGCGCCATGGCGACGCCGGCAACGGCAGATGCGATGATGATAGCAGCGATGGTGTACATGATGATGTCGATGATGATGATGCGGATGATGATGATAATGATGAAGATGAAGATGAAAATGAAGATGATGATGATGACGATGCTGCTGATGATGATGATGATGGTGGTGGTGATGATGATGATGATGCTAATTGTGTGCATGGAGAGGACCACGCCGTTGACGATGATGGCGTCCGCACGTCAGCGGTGAAGGTTTTGGAAGGATTCCGAAACGCGCGCCCCACCGACGCGCGCGAGTGGCCCGCGTCAGATTATTTAACAAGGATCGCGCCCCGCCCACGCTCCCCCGCCCACCCAACGTGCGCGCAAGGGCGTTCGAATGATATCGACATGCGCGCGCGGCGCGGCTGCCAGATCCCCAGGCTCCCGCTAGTCCCTGGTGGTCCCGCCCCCCGCGCCGACTGGCCCGCTCTGCATACTGCGGCTGCCTGATCCGCAGGTCCCCCGATAATCCATGGTTGACCCGCCCCCCACGCCGACTCGCACACTCTGCATATCGCGGCTGCCAGATACCCAAGTCCCCCACATAACAGAGCATATCACCACACCACTGTACAGATCATTTCCGAACATAACATGCAATGTCATGACAGGCCATACCGTAATATGACACACCATGACAAACCAGTGCATACCATTGCACATCATCACAGCTGATTACATTACATAGCATGACAAATCAAGCATATCATAACCAATCGACGCAGAATTGAACATACCAACACATACCATGTCACATCATCACACAACATGGCATAGCATACCACAACACAACACCGCATAACAAGGTATGCCATGACAGATCGGAACACACATAGCATAACATACCAAACAAAACCATAGCATGGTCGAACAAAGCATCACATAATATACAATCCCAATACAAAACCACAACATAATACAGCATCAGAGCACATATCATACCATTTCATGACGCAGCATATCATGACAGAGCGCGGCACAGTATGCTATAGCATGGCAAAACATTGCATAGCATAGCACCATAAGCTATGACAGAATTGGTCACGCCGATCAAAGCATAATACCACACCTCACAACACAACTTGCGACATGGCCCGACCGCCGCACTGGCCGAAGCCATCGCGCCCCGCGCACATCGTTCCAGTAAGCGCGCACAACTTCGGGATCAGACGCAGAAGGTTTTGGTAGGGATCGCTCGAAGCAACATGTTTTCCATTTTTGTAAACGAAAACCGAATTGTCAAACGGTTGGTTTTGCAACTGTTTTCGGGACACTCGATGTTGAAACCCTGGCGAAACTAAAATGTCTGAACTATTCCGGCATGCGTACGCGACGACGCGCGCACGCGTGCACTTCGTCCCGTCTTTCCGCGCGGGGTTCTTGAACGCGGATGATTATCGATAAGCCACTGCGCCTGCATTGTGTTTTTGTTTTGCAAGGGCTGGCGGGGGGAAGACCAGCCTGGCTGGGATCATATGAACTCACGCTCGAAACAAACGATGGGGAGAAGTCGCATGCAGATAGCACATCCGTAGGGGGGGCGATGAAACTGGTGTTGGACGGGGAAGACCCGACTTCTTTTTTGGAGCGGAAAATATGCGGCGGGGCGCATGTGGTGCAGTCCGTGTGGTGCAATCTACGCGGTGCAATTAATTTCTGTTCGCAGTGAGTTGTCCACTCCACTGCTCGCGCAAACATCCCACCCACCCACCCGCAACTTGGTTTGCAAAATCTCTTCAGACCGTGACGGTGGGTACCAAATGGCACTTGGCAACGACAGCGACGCCGACGACGACAGCGACAACGACAACGACGACGCCGCCGACAACGAGTACGACGACACCGACGACGTCTCCAACGACTTCGACGACACCGACAACGACGACGACGACGACGACGACACCGACGACGACGACGACGACACCGACGCCGACGACGACGACGATGACAACGACGACGACGATGACGACGCCGACGACGACGATAACGACGACACCGACGACGACGACGACGTCAACGCCGCCGACGACGACGACGACGACGACGACGACGACGGCGGCGACGACGACGACGCCGACGTCGACGACGACGTAGACGACGACGACGCCGACGCCGACGACGACGACGACGACGTCGCCAACGAAGACAACGAGGAAGGAGGGAGGACGACGACGGCGATTACGACGACAACGACGAGGGAGGAGGGAGGACGGCGACGACGCGAACGACGAAGAAGGAAGGACGGCGACGCCGACGACGGCAACGACGAGGGAGGAGGGAAGGCGACGACGACGATGACAACGACGACGACGACGACAACGGCGACGAAATAGGAGGGACG